CCTCTAAAGAGACAAAACTATTGTTGTCAGGAACAGCTTAAGGAAACTCCGAAATATGCATATCCCACAACAGAATATACACCAGAAATGTAAACAAAGTATCTGGAAAGAAATTAAATACAGTAGACCAGAATAGACACAAAAGACATGATCCTTTCAGAACTTATTTCAGAAACACAAGCACACTGAAAATTAGATCTTTGTGAAAGCCTAGTATTAAGAAATTTTAGCAAATTCTTTTAATGTGGCACTAAATTGATGTACAATTACTCAACTCTTATTAAATGCCATGACATTTACTATGGAAGTGGAATGCTTAACAGTGGCACTGAAACTGCCAAAACACACAGGATGCTGACATCTACCACCACAGTTCAGAGAGGTGCCTTTCATGTCTAAGTGCACTTAAAACAAAATAGCTGAGCTATTAGAAAAAAATGTTGTGAGAACAGTAGATAGAAAGGGTTTTGCTCATGGAAAGTTTCAGATATAAAGAGCACCAAAATGAAATTAAATCCCCTATTCTTAGTAAATAAAAAAACCCAAACCTGCTTTGCAGAGCCTTATAATGACCCAATTAACTGGACAAGTGCACATAAACCTGGTGAAGTATAGCTTCAGACTTGAATATAATTTCATTAGCATAATACAGACCAGCTGAATACTGCAGCACTAATCAAAAGACAGAGTAAGATGCTAATATCAAACACCAACAGAAAACATCAAGCTACTGTTTTCACTCATTACCTGCCCTTACCCTGCTGGTTACAGTCATATCTCTTTCCTACCACAAAGACCTAGAAGCTCTTAAAGGTGTTAATATTAATTTCTAGGAGCAAGTATTAGAGATTTGTACTTTGAAACATGTATGATTTCAGATGGAAATCATACTGTAGGCAGTAATGAACAACACTGACAATGGAAATTTGTGGTGTAGATTTGATTTCCATATTAAAAAGACACTGATGAAATTTAGGCAAATCTTCACAGTGGATGTATTTTTACAGGATTAACTCATGAAATTTAATTTTGTGAAGGTAGTGTAGGATTAGATTTTAACTGTTTCACACTGACTCCACTTAAACAGCTCAAGTACTCTAGACAGAGCTCTAAGGCACTCCAGTCTATTGCCTGAGTCTCCTGACAGATTGCCATTTATTCTACCCATCAGGTTACTCTGCGCTACAGAAAGAATACCAAATACCTCTGTCCTGTTGGGTTGGCCCTAGGTTAGAAATACAATGCCCCTATGAACTGAAGGAACTTGCAAAGAATAACTCTGTGCACTTCTGGGGACTATCAGTGTTTCCTGTTCACTGGTTGAACCATCTTTCTCACCTCCTTTCTGCCCCTCAACTTAGCCTCACTAGAAGGTATTCCCCTGCATTCCACTTTTTAGACTAAATGTTCCAGTGCACAACCTGTACTGCACATGTCCCTCATACTACGGAGTAATACTGAAACCAGCGTTCAAGTGCTGATATAGAAACATCAAATCTATTCAGACCTCAGGGGAAAGAAAAAATTCTTGACTGAACTAGCTAACTGTAATCTTTAAGTGTGTTGGAAGACATGGCAAGATGCTTGTGGCTTACGTGCCAGTGAATCTTCTGTAATAAAACCCAGAAGTTCTTGAAAAATATTTTCTGTGAGTTTTATTGCTTTAAACAATAAAAAAAAATCTTACCAAGAGCTGTAAAGTGCAAGTACTGAGTACGTTTAATCCATGGGAAAAGTCACCATATATATTTCTCATATGTAAATACATAGAAGAGAATACATTCTCGAGATGAATGATTACTATGATACACACCAACCTTTAAAAATGCAAAGAATAAAATAATTGGGTTAATCAATATGATATGTACACTGACCTGAGTAAGATCTGGAATGTCACCCTGATCAATTCCAACTTGCTGGGTTTACAAAAGAAAAGAAGAAAAAATGTACATTACTACTTGCAGTGGCAAAGAAAATAAAAACTAGTGATGTCTGAATGTTACATAGAAACTAACATATTAAAAAGGGATATTCGTAACTTTCTGAACTGGTACAAGTTTCACTAGGAACACAGCTTAGAAATCACAAGTGCATTAAATTGCATCTCAACAGAAGCCCAACTTATCATCCAGCCTAACTTTTCATGCAGAAAAGCTTACAGGGAACATTAGAAACACCCACATTACTTACTGGATCTACTTCTCCATTTTGAGCAGTTACAGTAGAGCACTTCAAATACACTGTAACATTCAGTTCATACATTTTGGACCATTCATGAAATCTGTAACGCTTCAGAAAATTTACTGTGGTGTTTGGCTAATAAAAAGGATACCTAAGAATCTCACTTCATGTTAATGAGCATATACAATCTTTAAATACCTAATCTGTAGAATACTTCCTTGTATAGCAAAGTTAAGCCAACATTATTCTGTTTGTAAAGTTGTTATTAAGAAATTAGACTACTGTACCAGTACAGACAGCTAAATGATATCCTTTCCATAGTTGTAGATCTATTTACCTCTGCTACTTTGAGGAATTCTGACAATTTGGTCATTCTGGCTAGAAATTTCTTGTAAATATCCAAGCCTTCTTTGCACTGGTTCTTCTTCATATCAAAATATCTTTCTGAGGATGCAAATAAAACTCTTGTAAAATAACAGCCTCCCCAGCAAAAAGCTGACACAGTATTTTAAAAGTTAATTTGAGACAAGCTTCAGAGAGAGAACAGACAGGAGTAACTCAAAGCTATTCAGATTTTAAAGTTTACATGAACACCTGACACCTTTTGTAATAAATCAGTCAACAGAAAAACATTGATTTTTCTATTTCAGTATATTAGAATATAATGCAAAGCTTTATTAAGCATGGATGTGAATCACTGCAATTGTTAAATTAGGGATTTAGGGGGAATATTTTCAAGAAGTCAGCTTAGTAGCTGGCAATGAGGCAAATTATCATTTGAAAATATTCCTGGTATGTATTTACATTTTTAGACCCTGTATCAATACGTTTTGATGTCTGTAAATGGCCTCAATATCCAAAAGACATTAGAATGGCTAATGAAGCACTACATATACCGAACGGACCTACCAAAAGGAGTATCAACCAGATCCTTCACTTTTTATCGTTTTGTCCTATACGCTTATAGATATTTCATGGAGTAACAACTAATGGATTAACAGAACAAACTGATCAGATGTTTTCATTCAGAAATTTGCCTGAATAGCCATTGCAAGGCTTTGCTAAGAGGTTACCACTCGAACCAAAACCCTACATGTCATCTACTAGGCTCATGTAGATTCAGGCACCAGGTAAAAGTGAATAGTCACGCTATAAAGAAAGTACAGGAAACCAGAAGTCAGTCATACTGTGACTATACTAAATACTCAAAATACCAGGTGTCTCACATAACCTTTGGCAATTGGACTGTAAAAGTATCCACTGCACATTTATGGTATCTTTGTTTTAGTCTCACCAGTCACCCTCTCATCTCAATTTCTGTTTCAAGATGTATTCTTCAAGGTAGAAGCGTATATTTAAGCCTATGCTAGTTGCCACTGAAACCAAGGCAGGCTTAATTTAATGGTAATTGAGCAGAGACGATTTATTTGGAAATTGCAGTCAGAAATTGTCTATATTCTTTAGTTCTTTCAATATCTTTCACAAAAGTTCAAAAGCTAAAAAAATTCTCACCTACCTAAAAGATTAATAATCCCCTCGTTGTATGCTGCAAAAAGTCTAATGGAATCTTTAAAGAGGAGCATGAAGGCAGCATTTATAACACCATTTGTTAGTTCATTTGGATTTGCCTGTGTAGAAAGTAATGAGAACATAAATTAATATTTAATAAAATAATGAAACTCTCACTTCAAAAATGAGAAACTTACCTAATGCTGAGCTTAGAGTACTTACATCAAAATCGAGGAGCGCGTCAAGCTGGTTCTGTATGATTGGAAGGGTTTTCAGAAGCTTTTCAGCATTCATGGTTCTCATCACTCCATCTATCCTACAGAGTAGAAGACACATGTTTACAAGTTACCAAGAGACCTCAGCATATTATGCTGTTTCCACAATACTGTATTGCTTCAAAGGGCCAAAAGGAACACCAATCTACAATAAGCTCAAGAACAACTGGTATTTTCCTGCCCGCCCCTCCCCCCCATGAAAGACCAAAGAAAAGCAGCAGTAACAGTCTTACCCTCTTTTCATTTTGGTGAAGTCAACTGCTACAAGTCTATATGAAAGTGCTTTTTCATTCAAGTATCTGCTATATCGCCTAATGAAGGTAGACATATCATAGCCTAAAAGTTAAGCATTTGTAAGTTAGACATTTTGAAGGGGTACAATTTCTTCTAAGTTCTTTTCAAGAACTATTCTCCTACTAGCCCATTTTACATCAGCTTGCAGAAAAAACACTTTCCATCTTGAGACTCGCTATTTTTCACCTTGAGATGTAATGTTACAGTTTCTTCCCAACTTGCTAAGATTAAGAAAGTGTTCATTGCAATTATGCAAATAAACACCTAAACACATTAAAATATTAGGCAAGAACCAAGCAGCTCTTATTAAGATCTTCTCAAAATTAGACTGAAAATTTATTCCCAGTAAAACGCTGAGGACTTTGGTAACTTACCTGCAATGCCTCAAAACCACATAAAGACCCAAAAATATTTTCTACCATTGGCAAGTAATTAAAAGACTTCTTGGAGATTTGAAGGAGTTCTCACTATTTATATAGCACATCCTAGTTACCATTCCATGCACCTTAACAGTAAGCATTTACTCCTGAAACACTAAAATGCAATGGCAAAAATAGATCATATTAATCAGGTTTATTCTAGTCAGCGTTAAGAGTTTACTTTTTAAAAATTTACAGCTGTGTATGCACGATACATACGTTACAGACAAACTTCTAGCACTCAGCTAGGTAACTCAGAATCTCACTTTCCTTGCATCTACATTCTTGGTTTGCCCCTCTTTGGTGCCTCATGCAATATAAATCGTAACACCCTTTCATTGAAATGCCATTTGTCTCCTAGAGTGCACTGACACAGGCGCTACCCCAGAGCAAAAAAGCAGCAGCGTTATTTCCTTCAGTGAAAGATCCTTACCCTGCATGGCACTTTTGTCCAGGTAGTTATTTAAATTGAACAAAGTGTTTCGGGATGCAAGATACTGGATAAAGCGCTGTTGGTGAAGAAAAATTTGAGAATATCATTGCTGTGAGTCAAAACATTTACGCATATTCCAAGAAAACTACACTTACCTTGTATTTCTAGTAACCTCTATCAACAAAAGGAATTAGTTAAAAGGGGAAAATTTAAAGTAAAACTTTAAACTACTGATTAGCAAAGCCTCTGAAATACTAAACTATTTGGCAAAAAAGTAAATTTAAATAAATAAAAAGACATCGCTGCCATGAATAAAAGACTAACAATCCTAGAGGAAGCTGCTTAGATTAACTTTGTAGCTTAGAACAGACAAGTTGGAAAACAAAACCAAAATACCGCTTGCATTATCCAAGCTTCCAAGGTTTGCATAGAGCTACCGCTGCTGTAGAAGTGGGAGACAGGCTTAGTTACAAAGTTTAAAAGTAATTCGTTAACAATAATGCTACTGGAACTGCTGTGAGCAGCAGCAATGCTGGGTTATAACTACATGTACACGTAATATTTTTTTTTAATATATATATAAAAAAATAATGCAGTGATCCAACTAATTATTTCAGTTTTGACAAATAACTGGCTCCATAAATAACGCAAGAGTAAGAGACAAACAAATCCAGATAGAAGGTACTTTTAAAAGTTTCTCTGTCACTGTTCCACACAGATCTCCTATGATTGCGATTTCTTTACTTTCTTGCTGCTTTGTATGTGTTTTAGTCCGTAAAAGAGGATTATGATCACTACGGCTTAAGTGACTTGTTACATCTTTGATCTGAATCCCTCTGCTGCCACAGCACGCAAGGCCTGTTCATTCACCCTTCACGGTGGAAATCCACCTGCCTGCCAGGTTTGGGCTATCGGGCTCTGCAAAACTAGGATTTTTCCAGTCAGGCTCAGTATAGCACCTGCTCTTTGGGAACTGTAACGAGGGCTTAGCACAGCAACAAGAAAATTCTCCTCAGAAGTACTACTTAAACCAAAAGCAGTACTTTCACCTTCCAAGAGGCCCAAATGATTCCCCAACTTTTCACATACCACCTCATCGGTAACTCCGTATGTGTTCTCAGCCTATAGCTACAGAGTTCACACAAGTCTACAACACGCAGCTTGCCTACCAACACTTCTGGCACTGTTTTAACTTCTTATTCTGTTTTCCAGTCGGTTTATCTGGTCTTTGTACATCTTAGTACTGCATTCAAAGAGATACAGAAGAGGAAAAACAGTTGGAACATAATCAGGAACAGAACAGTGATATTCAAAAGGTATCTATACACATTTCAAAACTAGCTACTGTTCTGAATCTCATTTTAAAAGGGCCAAGGCTAACTCTCACTCTCCAGATGTCAGGGGTCTCGTGCTGCACAATGCACAGTTGAGAGTTTTAACCTGTTTCACCCAAAACTTCATCACAAGAAATAGGTAGTCACATTTAACAAGAAACTGCAAGACAGTGATTGCTCAAACAACCTTTTGACCTTCTGCTATATTTACCTGTACTTAAAATAGAAGTCCAACACCTGATAATTTTTACCTGTTTAAGAAAAAGGCCTCTTTTAATCTATTAGAGGAGTGAGGAGTACACTCATGTTCCACCTGAAATTACAGAACTAGTGTTCCAGCCACTTTATCCCAGCTGGTGTAAAGGAACACTTTTTCAAGTTTCAAATGTACCCATTCAAAGCTGGTGAGCAGGTTTGGTATAGACATAAAAATTCAACTCTTCTGCCACTACAAAACACTGTATGGGCAAACAGATACTGACTGGTAGCCCAGAACTCTAACTTTCCATTTCCTATTCTACAATTCAGTGTTTGCTTTTTCCTTCTCCCCTTTCAAGTTTCAGTGTGTAGATACGAACTGTACTGAAAGAAGAGAGCATAAAATATACAATGTGATTTACAGCATTCAATTTAGCTTTATACTTGGAACAAATAGTGAATTCCAAGCAGTGAATTTTACTTTGTATTATCCTCTAATTCCAGCCTATTGTCTGCTGAAACTACAATTTAAGCACATAAACAACGTAGCGAAGTGTGAAGAGCACACTATGTTATACAGGTCATTTCAATTAAGTTCACAGAGCCTTGGAGAGAGGAGGCAACACTAAGTTTTCAGAGCAGTTTAATGGCTGGAAGCAATACCTTTAAGACTCATCATTTCAGTATTACCACTAGTCAACAGTCATTTATTAGGTGAATGACTACACACAAGTTCAGGACTAAACTGTCACCTGACCACGACAAAGTTTAGTTTTTAACGGAAGGACTGTGTAAGAGAGGCTACCTTTCTAATGCCATGTTATTGTCTGGGAAACTTTTAATAAATAGTGATGAAACAATTTAAGTGAAATAAATGCAATAGAAACCTGTTTCGGAGGAATGTTAATGACAACAACATATGAAGATTTAGCCCATTAGACGATGATTTGCAAGATCAAATATTCTAGTCACCATATTCCTCCCCCCTTTAGTAAGTATTCTTATCTGTTAATAGGTTGGCTGCACATTTATGGAGTGCTAACAAGACTCTTTTGCTGTGCTCTTACTGATAAGCACTCGCCTAATGAAGTAAAGCTCATCAGAAGTTTTTCAAGTCTTTATTCTAGAAAGGTCACTAATTATTCCCTCACAGCCCAACCCAGATACCTGCAGGTAAATTGCAAACACTGCTATATTTTGGTATTAAAATAATGAAGGAGTACTGTCATCTTTGGAGAAGTACTGCACAGCCATCAGCAGAGGAAACAAAGACCTTTGAAAAATTGAAGTACATATCTAGTGCTTCATAGATTGAGGCAATTTTTTAAAACACTGTCAAGGAGGCTTTAACAGCACTAATCATGTCTTACCTCGTTTCCATACATCATGAGGTGGTGTGTTGTAATTAGAGCTTTGAACACTACAACCCAGCTACTGTTTGCAGTTCTCTCAAAGAGTGTGTCTGCCAACTGCGGAATATTCACATTCATTTCATTTGTGCACTGTATTAGATCTAAATTAAAGGAAAAAAAAAATCAAAGCATTACAATGAGTTATATGCTCAAAGAGGATCATCATGTTATTTTGTGTTTTTACATTGAGAATTCATACTGGAAGCATTCACTTCAGTTCTTTGTCTAAGAAATAATTGAGCTATTTCACATTCCTTGCTCAAATTCACTGCATTTTACCAAAATATTCCAAGTATGAACTTCAAAGCCATTTCAATAATTTTATGGAGTCCCAATATCCCATCAATACATAACATGCTCCAGTAGAAACTCTATGCCTGGCCCAAGTTATTGTCCAAATTATTGTGCAAAACTTCTGGATGCTCAATGCCTGAAGCCATTCAATCTAACAAAAAAAAAATTAGAATCAGAGAAGCAAGGAAAAGCTGAGACATCTATACCTCATGAGATCAACAGGCCAGCAAGTACCCTGCAACTCTGACATAAGCCTGAGTACTGACACACGACAGCAAATGAGATGCTACAAACCTGTAATAGGTCTCTTTTCTCTAAGAATTAAGAGCAAGAATTTGCATCTACACACTTTTCCACTTAGCTAAAATAACCTAATCACCAACCTACTGAGTATTTTGTGGTAGATGATGGCAGGTCTCAGGCTTTTGTATAAAAAAAAGCTCTCTGTGTCCAAGACACAGTTCAATAGTAGAACATTAACTTGAGAGGTCAGAGACAGAGAGCTTCAAGCCTCTGCCCGAGTACTAGTACAAAACCAGAACAGGCTCCAGCAAACACATGGGAAAAAAGCCTGCCTGAGAATGCTAGTGAAGGCACTTGCTGAGAAGAGAGCAAAGAACTGAATCCAGGACTATTCTAAACCCCTCAAGACATGCACATTAGACATTTATTCTCTCTCTGAGCTAAATTTGGCTCAGGTGCGATCAAAGTACACCTTAAGGACTGGGCAAGGCCAGTAAAACAAACATCTAGTTTGAAAAGCTTCCTTTGTGGCCTCTTATTTAAGCCAAGTCTGTGAGCAGCCTGTTGGTTGCAGAGCAGCATTGCTGTTTGTGTGGTTTGTGCGAGTCCTTGGAGAAGGGTAGGTGCTTGGGAAGTTGGGCAACAACCGAATACCGAAGTGTCAGCACCACCGAAATGGCCAACTTATTTGTCTTATTAGCAGTATGTAGAGGAGAGACTACATTATCATAAGCAATTTAAACATAAACTTAGAGATTACACATTGATAGTTTAGGACAAAATACTTCACAGAAATGCTGCACTTAATTTATATCTGTTCTAGTGCACAGAATATATTACAGATGTGCCTTTAATTAAAGATCTGTTTATTAAGAACATGAAGTCCTTTAATTAAGGATAACCGTTTAGAATAATTTAATAACCAGAGTAATTTTAAGAGAGTAGAGTTTTAGATAGTATCTTGTTGAGGTAGAAAGCTATAAAATGCAAATTCTAGTAAGATACTAATTTCATTCTAACAGCAAAGGTTTCCAAATATGTAGAAAACATGCAAGCGGAGATGAAAACTTTCATCCTTATTAGTAAAACATGAAAGTGCTGAACTAACTGCACAAAGAGAGCCCTGAAAAGAAGTTTTAACCAAGCTATACATCAAAACCTTATTGTTGAATAGTATTAAAATATTTCAATATTTACAAATGTGAAGATTCTCAAAACACAAGTAATTCAATAGATGCTGCTCACCACTCATGGCTGTATCATCACCAGATGCTGTGTCAAATTAATGAGTACTTCAAAGTTTCTAGAAGCCCAAACAGTCTATAGACAATTGTTGCCCCATATAATGAAGCAGGTCCCAATTTTAGAATTTATACATAGAGAAAACTTGAATTTTAATTCAACAGCCTCAACTACTGAATCAGAACTTTGTTAGGACATTTCTAAGTAGTTCTCTCAAAACACATTAAGGCAAGTAAGTCTTCCTAAATCCAATCAGTTTATAAGCAAGCATTATGAAGATGTTAGGTCTTGCTCAGTATTTCTCATGTAACTGAAGCATCTGTAACCAGCACAGGAATGTTACAGAACTGTTACAAGTCATAATTCCTATTCTCAGTTTATAAAAACCAACCAAACAAAAAAGCAACCAATAAAAACCCCACAAACTCTATACAGAGCAATACCTATAACATTACTGCTAGGTAACAGTTAAGGAAATTCCATTGATCTGCTGAGGTCAAAGACCACACAGATAAGCCTATCGAAAAATATATTCCTGCACAAAGCCCTTCTCCTTCACATGACCACTAAAGCAAGTCACATTTTTTACTGAAGAATTTCAATATTAAGAGTGCTTATTAAATAATAGATGAAACCGGGAGGGAAGATCCAGGTTAAAAACAAATAACTTTCTGCTCTCAAGTCAAACTAGCCAAGCTAGTATCATTCATATTTTGCTAGCACTCTCCACAGAGATTTCAATCTTGTCACCCTCCTGCAAGCTAAGGTGTACCAGCAGATATTCCAATAGACCCTAAGATGGTGCTGAACACCTGGGAGATCCCTTGCATAAACTTATGTCTAAGACTGATATCAAATGTGTTCTTATAGTGCTGCTCAGGCACAGTGTGACAGAAATCCTATTGTTAGCAACTATATCAAATGATATCAACTATATCAAACTGATCACCTCTCCTTAAGCCACACAGCTTTGGCTTATCATGCCATCATAAAGGTTTATTACCACAAAGAGCCATCCAGATGTCTACCTTCAGAAGGGCACAACTGCCTTGTGCTTTGGTACACAAGACTAAAAGAAGTCTTCTGTCAAGTGACAGTGACAGAGTGGAAGTTCATAGACCCCTGGTGCATTTGAGAAGCTCATTATGTTATCGTTTTATTCCACAAGCATTGTTCCATGTGATTGAAAAAGTGCAGTTCCAGTAATTCTGTAAAAGTGCTAGTAAGGTTTTCCAGCATGCGCTACTTGCTTCTGCAAGATGTGAGCCTGACTATTTTAAAAGGCAACCAAAAGGAAATATTTCACATACGTAGGGCTACTCAGAGTCTAACTCAAGCTGTGCTTGAGGTTAGAGGACCTGAATGAGCTGCAAGTCCTATGCCCTTTAGACATGTGCTGAAGACACATACTGGCTCCCCCAAAGACAATTTTTATGGAAGGCACTTAGTACAATTGTGGTCTTTGGTTTCAAAATCTCCTTGAGTGCACAAACACAGAAGCCACGGTTGCCAACACCAAAGAACACATGCTTAGGCAAACAAAACGTCTCTAAAATACTAAACTAAGAATCAACAGTGGAAAAAAATCTCAGTGCATTTTATAGGCCAAAACTGGACTATCCTAAGAATGTATTGCAAAATATCCAAGTTTAAAAAGACTCTTTAATAAGGCTACTCAAGGCAATTTTAAAAATTATTATTTTTCAACTAGTAATAACAAAGCTAGCATCACATTTGAATTCCAGCAATTGAGATATCTAACAAAAAAGGCAAGTGTCATTTCTCTAATATGCTTCTTTTAAGCCTGCAACAGGAATATCTACATAGAAACAACTGTATGGATCCGTTGGCAGCAAAGGAGGAAAAGGCTATTAACACCATACATCTGGAAGTATAAAGGAACACATGTACCTGAGAGGCTGACAGCTGGGCAACTATGATATGGATGTTGGCAGCAAAAACTGGAATGAAATGTGTAGGGCAAGTGATGCTCATTTTCTTATCGCACTACTTATACAAACACTTTACAACTCAAAGCATTTTGCCAATTACCCAGAGGAATCATTCTGACTGCAAGTGAAACTGTGGTGCTATTTCTAGAATGGAATTTAGAAACATGTTATCATCACACCGGAAAAAAAGAAGAAAAAAATCAAACAGCTTTAAACCAGAAGAGTACCATAGGTGTTTTCATGCAGCCTTGGAAGAGCTGTGGAAATCATACTGCCTAGAAGAGTACTGAGGATTTCTCTTCCACAGCTCATCTGAAATACTGGCACATCATCCCTATGAAACCATACAGCTCTTTGGAGAACAGCATGCATATATTCAGATACTAAAAAGACATATGTATCAGGTTTTTAGAAAATTCTCAGCCAGGCACCACCAAAAAATGACATACTTTTCAACTTCCAAGTAACAAGAAAGTAACAATTTTCTTGATTCAGGAGTATCTCTTAAGAGAACTCTGAATACGTAAGTTGAAGACAACCATAACGGTTTAATATTCCCGTATTTCTTCCACTTTGTCACAGGGCTCAAACTGCTTTAAGAATTAAGACCACCTTCCTTAACCCCAGCAGTCTTGAACAAAAACTTACCTTTTCTTTTTGGAAGTTGCACCATAAACTACAGATTACAAAACCATAAAACAGAAGAGCCACTTCAGCAAACTTTCTCAATATAGCCTAAGGAATGCAACAATTCTTGCTGGAAGACTTAATTAAAAGCTAGCACCTGACTGATACAAACATTTTTATGCCCATGTGCTCTTACAGTGCAGATTTGATAGCAATCTTTAAGTTTCATTACTATAATAGCTAAATCTGAACTTAGAGTTACTTTATCAGAAGCAAAGCAATTCACCTATTCAGTCCCACTCCCCCCTAAACAAGGATACATGATGGCCCACAAAGTTTTTTAAAAAGCCTTAAGCGATTTCTAAATAAAAGCCACATTATAGATTACAAAAACATTAACTTATTTTTGTTCAAGTCAAATTTCATCAATTACCATACTGAAAAGCTTCACAGATGACTAAAGACCTTCATATTAAAGACAGCCACCTGTGGAAGAGTTCAGGAGTATTTCTTCATACTCTGCCACCACTTACATACAACTTGCATATCTCTGCAAGAACCACACTGCATCAGCATTCACCCAACAGTCATGAGCTCTAGCTGCCAAAACTAAGAACAGGCAGATACAAAACCAGCCCAAAACTGTGACAGTCATAGGTATTATTGGCAAAACTTAAAGTTTGTGATGATTTGGTGGAGACCTGAACTTGTCCTAAAGTAAAAGGCTCAAGAGCCTA